AGTTACGTGAGAACCGAGGATTTCCGAGGTTCTCACGGAAAGTGGAATTTGTCCTCAAGGACGAGAATTCGGGTTCTCAACTGCCTTCTCTAAAAATAGAACTAAAAAATTCGCGACATCTGTTACTGCCAGTCAGCTCATATATATGCCTTCATTCTTGAAACTTCTTTCAGCGGGATTAGTAGTGGTATAAGTCCACGTAAACCTTGTTCCTTCAAGGAAAACATTTGAAGCTGCGCTTTCCATCACGCATTCAAGAGGGCAAATGTTTGCTTTTTGAATGTCTCAGAGGTGGATTACGGAGAAATCCACCTCTTTATATAAGTCAGTATAAAAATTAAAATGGTACCAAGAGTGTCATAAATAAGACGCAAATATTGAAAGTTTGAATCTGAAATCGTGGTGAATCTGTAGTGTTTACGAGAGGAAATGTCGATACGAACGTAAGTGTTCTTCTTTAAGAACTGCGCAGAGAACACTTCAAATAAGGATAACTTTTAAGTTCTAAGTTGTGCTGAATTTATCCCTTCTCCATAAGGCGTTTTCCAGGAAAATTACTTATGATCCTCAATTCACACCCCAAGCTTCTCCGAAATTCTCTGAATTCTCTGAAAGCTCCGAAAAAGATAGTTCTCTCACTCCATTGCTCGATCATACTTGTCGGCATTTGAAGTAACTGATGAACTATTCACATCATGACTTCGCCAGAACTTTCCTGACGATTTTGAGCTATCTATGCTATCTATATAAGACATTATCTAAGCTGCACTAGCCTAATTCGAAATAGATAAGTCAAAATAGTGATCCAAAAGCTGTAAACTTCACGGAAAAAATCACAAAACGCAAGAACAATGGCAGAGAATCAGACGAGGGAACAACTAACTTCATCATTGGGATGATTATCAGCATGAAATTGAGATTTCCTCAAACCACTTTCACAAAATTGGAATTCCTGAGACAACTTAAAAGTTGAATTATGATTTTGAGAGCAGAAAGGAAACAAAAAATGTCTCCATTTTTTGTGCGTTTCCTGTGATAACAAATAGATGAAAATAAAATATATCACCCATCGCATTCATCAGCATGAAATTCATTGAGATTTCTTCGAGCCATTTCACAAAATTGGAATTCCTGAGACAGCTTAAAAATTAAAATATGATTTTGATAGCGGAAAGAAAACGAACCAAAAATTCCTCCCTCTCGTTTAAGGGGTAAATTTGCTTATTTTTTTTTTATAGGAAGAGGAGGGTAATAATTTTCACCTGCTCGGTTTCGTTCTAATAGCCGGTGCCACGGATATTCTCCTACCGTCAGCAGGACTCTTTGAAACTCCAGTTCCTTCAAGTGTACGCCTTTTCTTGGGTTCCCTAGTCGTACCTCCAGTGGGTACCCCATCCAAAGTTCCAACAGCAGGTTTCCGTGCTGGCGAAAGCACAGGGATCCTTCCTCGCTTGGATCGGGTAAAAGACGATTGCTTCCGGAGTGCAACCAGAGGTTCGTGGGATGCATTCTGCTGGGCACTAGGCGACGGCTGAAAGCTTTCCGTGACAATAACTTCACTTTGCTTCATCTCCATGACAGTCCCCTCGGAAATTAGAGACGGGGAGATGCATGGACTCGCGTCGACCTGAGCGCCGTCGTCATAATCATCGTCACGCTTCGGCGCATTTTCGATTGATGAGCCCGCGGCTAATTGAGGAATAACGGAATGCGGAAGTTCGTCGTCATCCGCGTTACTTCCTGTAGCTTTCTCCGCTGGGTTTTTGACGACAGAATCTCGCTTTGTTTCTGCGGGAGAACTTCCTGGCTTCACAGAAGCAGCAGCTGCTGCAGCTGTCGCTGCTTCTTCCGGGGTGTCATTTTGTGGAGCGTCGTCATACGGAAGTTCGTGGGAACCGGCTTCGGATCGATCGTCGTGGAAATCGTTGGCTGGAGACTCGTTTTTATTCTCAGTTTGTCGGTTGAGTCGCTGATCACTGTCGTATTCCAGTGGAGAAGCGTCGAACAGTGTGTCGCTCATCTTGGCACAAACCTGAGAAAAAAACGGCTGCAATAGAATATTTCTTCATGGTATAGCCCCGCCAATAACGAGGGACACTTTGATCTCACTAAATTCGACCCCAACATCTGAACAATGCCTCAGAATACAGATCCTATATTTTGACAAAATTCGTAGAGATCAACAGGATCATTTTTATTTTCACAATCTTCAGATATCTCTTGAATATACAATATTGTGCAATATCCATGAAGAAAGTTTCAAAAAACGTCTTGAATCATTCAAAACTCATTCATAATCCAAAACCAGTTAATTTTGTGCGTCTCCTATGTACAGGGGTTATTTTCCCCATCAACCGTTTGCAGTGTATCAAGCCCAAAGCTCTTTTTTTTCTTGTTGGACCCCTTTTAATGCCAGAAGGGCAGATTTTTCCACACATTTAATTTTGGCATCTTTAAATTTAAAAGGACAAATAATAATTTTCACTAAGACAAAGAAAATTAAAATTTTTCGATTGAACTCCAGCATGGACCTGATGGAACATTTTCGAGTTCCGACGCGTAATTATTATACACATCCGAATATCGGAGCCTCACTATTTAATTGGAAAAAGATATATTTGCATCGGGACCTAAAAAAAATTTTCAACGATAATGCAGGAGCCTACTTGAAAATACGATATACAGGGGACTCCCTCCACAACGATCTTAAGTCTACGATGATTTTCTCTGCATAGCGAATTTTTTAAATATCCCATAGGGTTATCAACCCGTGTTATCAGGGGTTCTCTTCAATTCTACATCTACCAAATTATCTATAAAAAAAAAGATTTTTCCCCTTAAAATTCGGCGCAGAGTGAGTCCACCTGTATATAAAGACGAGGACATTGTAAAAATAATTTAATGAGTTCTGTACAGTACGATTTTGGAGGATTCAAGAAAAAAGACATACAACTAATGGTTCAGAATAAGTGAATTGCGGGATGAGTTCGGAAGGAAAAACTGGTAGCACTTCTCTTCAGTGTGTAAGGGCTCACGCGCGCGCAGCAGAGTAGTGTTTTTAAAAAAAATTGTAGACTGCTAAGGCTTGAATCAATAGTCAATTCCATTTTATAAACAAAAAATTGTTGAAAACGTTTTCAATTTTTGGTTTTCCCTCATACTAAGATCTCACCACTGCCACAGCATCCGCGGCTTCCGCAGCAACTTCTTCAATGATGGGAGGTGCCGAGTCGGAGCTCAAATAACAAGTTGACAAGCCCGTGTCATTCGTGTGGTGTTCGGCTGACGAGGCAGGGGACACAGCCACGTTGTTCACAATGGGTAAAGCAGGCTGAGTGTCGAGAGGAACACGTTTCAATTGCTCGCATTGTTCCGCGTGAATGTGGGATTTGCTCAGCAAATGCTCGAATTCACTCAGTGTGTCGGTGCCATCGAGGTTATCCTCTCCGACTGCGGGAAATTACGTGAACATCACAGTACAGTACATGTTAAAAATTCCGGAAATTCGCCTTCAGTAAACGACGCGATAGTTAAGTTGTAAGATTAAAGCATGTGTATTGTTCTAACGGGAATAACTGTAGAATTTATGCTTTTCATCTACATTGATTAGGTTTACAAGAATCTGAAGGCGGAAAAATATTTCCGCTTTATTGTTGGCGACGAAGAAATTTATTTCTACACTAGAAGAACATATGCATGATTCATCCTCTGGAGTGATTTCTCTTTGTCCTTCCCAATCTTGCAAACGAAGATTTTTTCAGAAAATTTTTTCTTTAATCTTTCAGTCACGCCAGAAAATCTGTGCAACTAATAAACCCAGTTTCGACTGTTCATGTCGTCAGGTATGTGAAACTAGGGCAATTCTCATAGGAACCAAATCGTCTCTCAGAAAATCGAGTGGCTGTCATGACTTCGTTCTTTTCCCCAAAATTCCGAGCTAGCCACGTCAATGGGAACCAGATTATTAACCTGGACTTAAAGGTGAAGCGTCACGCTAAATACTAAGTAACCAGAAGGAATCTTTGTCTAAAAGTTGGTCTGCTTATTTCCAGTCCACACCAAAAAAGATTTTAGTCCCAGGAACATTCTCCAAAATTAATTCTAAGAATTAAATTCAAATTTCAGGACGAACATATAATTTATGCTTTGGGAAACTGTTTCAATTTAACTGTAGGATCTTCGGCCATCCCCAAGATCATCAGAGTAATACATACAGATAAGTCTCAATAATTCGCAATTAGCACCCTTACAGGACTTCAGGTGCTCATCATACTCGGCCGAAATGGAACATTTTAAACTTTTTTTTAGGAAATGTAACCACATTGCAGACAAAAATATAAATGAAATTCAATTGGTTTCAGGATTACTTCAAGCCAAAATCAAATTTAGATCTGTGTCATTCGCTGGAAAAAAAATCAGCCACTGAAAGTGGGGTTTCCCCTCTTACTGAAGATAAATTTTATCCAAAATTTATAATGAAAAATCGAGGTTCGCGTCTTACGTAAGGGTACGCGTTATTCGAGTAAATGCGGTAAATATGTGTAGATATCAAAAATAAACATTCCTATCAAAGCTCTACAAGTTACAAACTTACCTCTAACTGCGTCTCCAGCAGTGGTAACAACTAGAGATCTCTGTAAGTAAGCACTGTATCGAGCTTCATTCAAGAGACCACTCAAAGTCGTCCACGATTGCGGCGCTGCTGGGGATGATTTAACTGGCTGATTTTGCAAGCCAGCAACTTGTTGCACACACAGAGAAAACACGGCCATTTTGATACTTTGCATAACTTCCTTGATTTCACTGATCTCGGCCATCACTTTCTCTCCCACGATTTCTTCTTTATTTCGCTTCTCCGACTGCGGCGCCGCACTTTTTTCAAGCTTTTCGTTCGCAGCAGCTTTATTCGAAACGTCACCAAGAATATAATTTATTTTAAAAAAATCTGAAAGCCGAATCATGGAAAGAAATAATTCGATTTCCTTCGTATGTGTCTCACCGATCTTGTCCAGGATTTTCGTCAAATGCTGGAAAACCCGGTGTCCCTTTGAAGTCAGCGAGGAGAAACTCATGGACGTGGTTCCGCTCGGAGTACAATCAATCTGCTTGAGTTGAGACCTCAAATAGATCGAATTGAAGTTTCTTCTACATTTCTTCCTCGCGATGTGCGTTTTTCTCCGGGAATAAGAATTCTCAGCTTTCACGAGAAGATATTTTGAAGCTGTTATAAAAAAAATGTTTCAAATTTCAAAAGATTCTAAATTAATTAAGCCATGATTAGGTTTGCGATGAAGCAGCAATGCGTGTAAATATTGCAAATTAAAATGTTCCATGTAGGTTTAATATGCTCTAACGTGCCTGGCTTAATGATGGTCAAAAAAGTTGCGGGTGAAAGAAAATTTTATTGAAATTATTTATTATTAATTATTTTATTTTATTTTATTGAAAATCAGTCTGGGACATCATGGCCAGAGACTTCTTTAGAAATACCTGTAGTTCTTATCTTTCTCCGCAAAAAAGGTATCCAGCAGTTTTCTCTCTTTTTCAGACACACAGCATGCACCTTCACATCACAATGCGTATATATAGAGGAACTAAATGTACTATACAGGTATTTATTCTCGTTTTCAAGAATGTTGATAAATTATTTGCCAGTGGCCTTCGGCAGTACTTGAAATTAAAATCGAAAGTTTTTTCGATGGTTAGTGAATGGCCAACGAAGTAGAAGTCAAATGCATAACGGCATCAGATGAAATAAAATAAATTTGAAAATTAAAAGAGTTGTGGCTGAAGTTCGATTTCTTGCGCAATTTAATGCTTGAATCGATGTATATCTGTGTTAAACTGGGAAGTTTTATCAATAGGGTTGGAGAAAGAACCGTGAGAAGAAATGCCAGAAAAAATAATGTTGCGGGAGACAAATCCTAGTCTAAGTTTGAATCATACAGCGAAAAGTGTAATTAAGTTGTCTAATTAATTTGAAAATTTCTAGGGAAAAAATCAAATTAAAAAAAATAACGAGAAAAAACTTTTTTCAAGCAGCAGAAGGTTGTGAAATGTTTTTGTGATCCCAGAACTTTTTCACCTCCAGCATTTAAATGCCTCGACTTTTTCTTATTTGTCATGATTATTCATAATGCGGCGCGTTTTCTTCATTACGTAATTTTCGAAGTGGCGTTATCTTTTCAAACCATTCAATAACTTTAGGAAAAATGTTTCACGAACAAACCTCGCTTCTTGTCAGTGTCTTTGACACTTTCAGTTTCCTCGACGTCCTCGTTTTGTGGGCATTTCTCCTGGACATCTAATGGCTCAACCGAAATTAAGTCGTCTTTCACAAGAATGTTCTTGATTGTGGGAGATGACATGGCCGAAACGTCCAAATTCTCAATCGCCTTCGAAAGCCCATCGTGAACAATCATGCTCGTGTCCAACCAACTGGAATCCACGACAGACTGAGCTTCACACTTATTCAAGAGATTATTGTTCTCCAGAGCATAGTCTCCTCTGTCCAAGAATTTCGTCTCCCACAGTGTTGGGGAAGTTTTCTCGGGTTCCTTATTGGGGACTGATTTGAGTCGCTTATTCTCGGCAGCGCGGTGAAGCAAAGTCGACATCCGACGATGCATGCAATCTTCCGTTTGATCCGCGGCGAATTTGTCTCGCTGAATCTCAGCTCCCGAAATGGCAGAAAAGTCGAGCTTCAAAGAGTTCCACGTTTCGTCTCCAGGGTCGGCGTGATTGTCCAGTGTGACAACGAAAGGTTCAGAGAACTTGATGATGTCCGGGGATTCATCAGATGCAGGGCCTGTTATTGCTGCTGATGATGTAACCTTATTATCATTATTATTATTGGCTTCAGCTGCTGCAGTTGCAGGCATTTGTGCGGTGAAGCCAATTTTCGACGAGCTGATGGATTTGCGGAACTCGATTTCGTTTAGATTTTGCTCGATTTCAATGACTGATGAACGAGACACTGCAGAAAACTCGGTCAGTTTGGATTCCTGGTGGTGGACGATTTCCTGGCAAATGTTTGTTTGTTGGGTTTCTTCGAGGGCGCGGGTGTCCGAAAAGTCTCCGTATTTTCCCACAGCCGACGAGTTCGAAACTTTGGAGACAACCGCAGTGCATCCTGAATCAATTAAAAAAAAAAATTTTTAATATAAAATTATATTTCACAAGCAATTCGTATTCAGTGCATGAATGACCATACGAACAAAAGACTAATTCTGAACGGTGTATGGGAACATCTTTTTTCCAGTTCAGGAAGAGATATGCTTCTTTTTAGGTACTTCATTTTGACTGGAGATCACTAAAACTCAAACCGAGTCACGCATAAAGAAAGCCATTAATTGGAAACTTGCAGGTTTTCTCAAAAATAGGCAGGAATTGTAGAATACGTGTGCCTTTTTGGCAAAAAAAAATCAAGAGGTCCATTCCGTTCTAGGTTCGCCGTTTCGAACGGTGTTCCCCAACCTTTTGGGCCTGCAGACCAGCAGATTTCCATGAAATTTTTTTCAGACTGGCAAAATTTTCAAAAAATGTTCTGTGGACCGGCAAAGTGTTGTAAAAGTTTAGCACACTCGAGAAAGTTTTGCCTGAAATACTTCACAGCAGCTAATGAAAAAGTTTCTGCTTTTTTTCAAAAATTGCTCAAGCTGAGAAAAAATAAAAACAGGTACAGTATAGTGGAATGTCTTCAAAAAATTAGGAAGGTGGGCTTCAAAAAAAAATTCTCTGAATAAAATATCTAAATAATTTATTTCATCAAGTGAAGATTTGTTTGAAGTGTTAATTGGAGAAAAGCTAACTTTTTTTCTTTTTAACTGCAATTGTCTGGAAAATTTTTAGATAAGGATACTGAAACGCCCTTTATCAATAGTTTTGATAAATTTGTTTTGCTTGAGAAAATTTCCCTCAGACCAGCAAAAAACTTCGGTGGACCAGCGCCAGGCTGGGGAACACTGGTACAGTTGAACCTCCGTAAGTCAAACCTCCCTAACTTGAATTTTTTTCTAGTCCCCATCTGATTCCCTTAAGAACAATGCATTAAAAACCTCTTTAACTTGAAGTCTTCTTCTCTCAAACCTCAAATTTGATTTTTCTGAGGCCTTTTGGTTACTATTTCCTTGAAACATTACAGGAAAAATCAGTGAAACAAATGATTTTATGCATCTTCCAAGGAAGTGAAAGACCAATTGAGTAAAGAAGTACCCATGCATCCAAGTACAGCAAGCTGTGAACTCATTAAGAAGCAAGTTTAAGCCCAGAATATCCTTATTAACAATTTCCTGCATATTTTTTTACTTATCCTTGCGGCAAAAATGATTGTTTTCCTGACTCAAAACCCCAATATCAAAACCTCCTCAAGTCAAAACCTGATAAAATCTGATTTTTTTTTCCTAGTCCCTAAAAATTCGACTTTGAGAGGTTTAACTGTAGAATATTCACAAGGTTAGTCCATCAGCATGTGCGATAAAATAATTTACCTCAATTTGACAGAAAACAGTATACATTATGTGTTGATCATACAGATGAATCACTAAATTCAGAAATAAAACTGTCTCGGCACCTTTCCGTTTTCGATGTACGTCTTTCACACGGCCGTCGACGTCGCATTTCCGCTCAATCGCGCGGGTTTTGCCCGAGTGAAATTCGACTGCATTCTCATTATCCGAATGTTGCCGTTTTTTTCCGCTTTTAGAATCGCACAAGGCCTCCTCCAACTTGAGTCGCTCACTTTTTATGACACTCTCAGCTGCAGAAATCGCAGCTTGAATAAAGTCCCCGCTCGGCACATTCCCAACAGCAGTCGACTCAATAACCGCCGGCGAAGGATTCCTCAAAAGCTTGTTGGCTGAAAGACCGACCACCAAGAGACCCAGACTACAAGCCCCGGCCAAGGCAAACTTTTGTTGATTATCCGACAAACTGTTCCAGAAGTCTTGAACAGCGTTATGCTTGGGAATTGATCTGTCGACAATTCAATGCTTCATGCATTAAATCGGGATGAATGGAATCGGTTGAAAGGCAAAAACGGACCTAACTGACGACCCTAGTCTATGGAAGCTCTCGTGGAGACTCGAGATCCCTGTGCTCGCAGAACCTCTTCCGAATTGGGTCATCTGTTCAAGCAACAAATTATCCGAGGCCCTAAAATACCAAGAAGTTAAATCAACTTTTTAAAAAATGCAACAAACCTCAGCAAAGCTATTCCAAAAAACCCTCTCAAGGTAAGACAATATCAAGATGATCCGAGGCGCTTATGAACAAATTTTAAGTATGATAAGCCAGGTAAAATGCATTCAAAGGGCAAGTATCAGTCGGAAGGTATTGACAAGAGATGCATTCTTTAATTTTGAGAGCGGATGAAACGAAATGCACCATGAAACGGTGGGTATAGAAAAAAAGGGGGTCAAGGGGAAAGGAATGACGGAAGGTTAGGATAGTCTGTGAAATCAGGAAATTATTTTCTCGAATGCTTCGCCACTTCTATCTTCCACACGACACCTTCACAAGTTCGTGCATGTTGATGATTAAAATATCCGCTCTTTCATGCTCACAAATCATATGTTATTGTACGGCTCAAGTATATACACACTTGAAATATTTAAAACAATCATCATAATTGTGTGCAGTCGACACTCTTTTACGCGGACACGGAACTTAGCTTCCAGAATGTGACTGGATAAATAAATGCCGATGCGTATCGGAAGATCGAAAATTTTCAAAATTAACCAAGAAATGAAAATCCATCTAAATTTTCTCAATTATCTTTTCAAAGCAATCAAGTACATTTCCAACCATGCAGATTCCCACATGAGCTTTTTCTCGGACGATTCTGTAGCATGCATGAATATAAGTTTCTCCTCATGAAAACACATACTATATATTTTTTATTTTAGAAACGTCCTGTTTTTCTTGAAGCTTCACTTTATGAAGAGGAAAAATTGTGACCTGTAACTTTATTTTCGTGGTTATTTTAAGAATGAACGAAGTGAAAATAGCCCAGTATAGTTCGCAAGCAGTGAGAATTTCGTATATTTCAGCATGATCACTCATTGATGTACATTTCATTAAAATCATTATTACAACACAGAACCAACACAGATAATCCGTATTTGTTTCACATATGCGCCATTCATGCAACTTCGTCAATATATTCGTCTATTCCAAAAATAAAATTTCGAAAAAATACACAGCATACGATTTTCACTCTAATAATCAAAATCTTCAAGAAAATGTTTTGTTCATTCATACATGCCTGTAAGAAAAGCGCAAACATTATTTTTTTTGACGCAAGCATTATTTTTTACTTTCACTCTAAGCTCGAGCTAACTTAATTATCCTGGGATGAAATTTAAAAAAAAAAAGATATGCAACGTAATTTCAGACCTCAAAATTCACGAAGACTTAACGAATCTCTGAAATTTCGTTTCTTTTCCGAAAATTCAATGAGAAAGGTTTCTTCTAATCACATTTTTCCTCTCATGCATTTTTCGTCCTCATCGCGAATATTGGTGACCCTTCCAAAGAAAAAACAGAGCGAACAAGGAAATAATGTTCTAAATGCCCCCATTTTGAAAATCTCCCAGGGATTTTTTTTTATATGTGCTCAAATTCATTTTCACCTGTGCTGATACTCCATGATGTACTTTTTCTTCAATATTAATTATTCCTGTATGAATAGCGTCACATGTGATCTGCAGGCATCAGATATTAGTTCGCATGGCATTTCGCACGCTTTGTCAAAAGGCCAGAACTTCCTCAACCTGTTGTTTTTCAGTTCAAGTCATTGTATCGGTAATGAAAATTTAACTGAACGGGATCAGTGCTTCAAAATGCTGCTTTCGGCGCATTGAATGTATTTTTCATTCGCACATGCGAAGTAGGCGAATCTTCGAAGTCAAACTGAAAAAAATTTTAATTTGGGGGATGAAATACTTTCATGCATCGACATATCCAAACACAAAAAAATAGTGCAAATGCATATTTCAAAATATTGTTTTCCTCCATCGCCAACGATGCCTGCTTCTGGATTTTTTTTTATACGACATTCAGCAGGACACGCCTGAATTTATTATCGTTCTTTTTGTCTACCTGTTATTATACCTTAGCTTATGTAGCTGTTAAATTTATTGAGTCAGGTAATGTGCGATTAGTTCAAAGGTTGCATTAGCTGAGCTTCAGTGGAGCACGATATGGTCGACCAGGAAAGGGAATCAGGCGACACCTCTCATACATTTTAGAAGTTAGACACTCGCATCTACTCAACGCATTTGAGAAGCCTACTCTAAGATGTCGCTCCGGCAAACTGAAAACAACGTAAAAACTGCTGGAGCGTTGAACTCAAACGACATACGGATCGTTATCCAGGCGACTCATGCGAGAATCTGAAGGCACACACAAAGTCCCTCCGAGTCGACTAAATCTCGCGGATCGTTCCAACAATGCGGACAATCGATTCACGATGTTATTTTCGATAGCTTTCAATCGGTTTTCCAGCCCTTCGTCCAGGGACACCACGTCAGACGTGGAATTACTTTGTACTCGTTGGAGCCCAAAACCACGACCGCATGCTTTCCTGTCTTTAGAACCGTCGCCACTTCGCCCGAGGAAAGGCTTTTCATTCTTAACCTGACATTGGAAACATTTCATATAGTAAGTACTGCAAAAAGCTGAATTTCCATGCGAGCGTGTCACAACGAAAGATTACAATTAATGCATCAGAGCGGAAAACGTCAGTCCATTTATTTAAAAAAAGAAAAAAGAAACACGGGAAAACCTGAAGCATTAGAGCTGTTTTCCTTATTTTTAAACAGCAATATTCATATCCAAAGCAGTTGGAGCGGTTATGGTTTTAAGAGCGTCACTTGGAAGTTTATTAAAATGTCTTTCGAATGATGCACAATTTTCTTTTCGACTTACAAGAGTTATTTAGATTATTTAGCATTTAAAAAACGAAACACAAAGAAAAATTTGCCTCGTGATTGTTTTTAAAGTAACTTTAGGGGGTTTGAGTGGCTGTTGTCTTAGTTCCATGTACCTTGATTAAATTGCAATCAATCAGATGGTGGGCACCACGTTTGTTAATTGAAATTTGTATTTTAGAGAAATTTTATTCAGCAGTTTGACTGCCGAGATTGGCGAAGATGAAGTTGAACATAATTTGGTTCATTGTTGGTGGCAGAATGCAGATTTTTCTATTCCAGTTTCGATTTAAGTTGCACGAGACAAAAAATTCGAAAGCTTCTTTTCCGTTTTTAGCAATGAATTATTCTGACATTATCTGGATTTTTCTGATTAACGCTTACTGTACATAATTCTTTACTGCACAAATGCTTGAGAAGCAAGAACTAGTTTACAGCCCTTTCTGATCAGCTCACTGAAGTGAATTAGCTAAACAAAACTGGATATGTTGGTTGATATTCTGGTTCTTTGCATCCTCAATAACGGGTTTTAGGTTGTGGAATTCAATGAGCTTTTCTTTAAGCTGGGCGGGTTTTGAAATTACAATATTTTATCACACACATACATTCTAATTTTCTTCAGTTGTTCGTGTTATTTCTGTCATGTGACTGTGTGATCCCGTTCGAATAAGGTTAGTCTTTTGCTGAAAAACAGCAGCCTCTATATAACCATCGAATGGAAAGGTTGCTTCTCAAATTATGCGATATACATCAATATTTCTCTCAAGAGAACTGTTTCCAACGTTCAAGCTAGAGAGCTGGATCACTTTTACACTTTCAAATCGAGAAGAGAAAATTTTGTGCTGTTTTATGCATGAAAATTCCGCATATATGTTCATGCTGTCTTCATGGTACCCACCTGACGTGTTCCACATCTTTTAAGATGAACAGTTTTCGAAGTTTTCGTTGAGAACAATTCGTTTCTTTCTTCATAGCCTGCTTTCAACCCGACTTTTCTTCGAAGTGCTATTTCTTGAAGCGTCATCCTGGTTTCCTCATCCAACTTCAAAGACTGTTCGATTGCTGAATCGCTCCACATTCGTCGGCAACAAAGTCGACTTCGAATCCCAGTCCAGCACGAAAATCGACCTTCGGCATAAACCGAGTCCCTTCTGTTGGAGTCGTTCGGCAAAATATACGCCGCGCTGCAAAATAAATTTCCGAGTCAATAGCCAAAAAAATGATGATAAAAGAGTATCTCGTGAATTTTTACACCGGAACCATCAAGAAAGAATTATAGTAGGATCAACCCACACTTGATGAAATGTTGGTCATTAGAGTTCCTGTTCCGTGGCAAAAAATCTCTTGGTTAAGAATGCAACTTTTTAGTTTGAAAGCGTATGTGCAGCGGGAAAAACGATGAGCAAAAAATAAGTTTTACACTAAAAGGAAAATGTTTGCCTCATGGCGGCATCAAAATGGCGGCGTGTTTATGTCCATTTAATTTTTTTCAGCATTATTTTTTTAATGTTCTTTTCTGCATTAAATTTGTTTCTGGTATTTTTGGAAACACGTGAAAACGTGTTTCGACATATGCTTTTGAGTCACTGAGAAGCACCGTTTTCTACAACAACAAAAAAACTCTGTTTTTCTATTTTCCCAAACTTCTCAGGACACATCATCGACCCGTCCGAAAAAAAATTGCTTGTAATTAATAACGCAACACAACAATCGGCTTTGAACCAATTATATACATTAGCATTAAAATCTAAGGGAAAATGAGACTTGACTTAGGGACATTCCGACATCAGGACACTCTTGATACACCAATTACATCCGCATCTCTGGGTCTCAGTGTTTTTCAGATCACGCATTCATAAATCATCAGTCAACACTCAACAGCATGATGTGAAAATCTCTGCTGCTCATTTGATATTTTCTGGTTGACTATACTGTACTGTAATACATTTTTTTCTAAATTCTTACAAATTTCCGGTGCTTCACCAACCTGGGAATGTAAAGTAAACGTCTGCAACCAAATGTTCTAATGATGTACTCTATGCTGAGAAGCAGGTCCATTGTGGTTTTGTTCTTGGTCAACTTGGCGTCGTGCAGGAGATCTTGCAGCTCATTTACCGCCAAGGAAATCAGCAAGTTCCCCAGCAGCATTGAAATGATCAGTACGAACCCGACGTAGATGATTTGACTCGTGATCGGAAGGTACGAGGGGATTTGAGGATTTGTACAATTGAATGTAGGAGGTAGGTTCGAACAATTCGTAGTAGGGTTGAACGTTTCTTCGAAGTCAAATTCTCCGTTCATCATCATGGCGACTTTGATCAAGGACCCGTCCCAAGATTTGTATGATTCCACCGTTGTTCTCTGTTGATGATGTTTTTAAATTCAAGATGAGATTTCAAAATAAGATGAAATGAACATGAGGCAACCGAAAAATATCGTAATTATTAGTGCATTCTGAGAATTTCGCAAAACTTGGATTTAGTTATCCAGAAATATTCTGTGATCACTTCTGCTGACATAAATCCAATTCTTATGAAAATGCAAACCCCCGACTTTTCAATTTTTAAGCTTGAATTTAAAATGGTCATTACTCACCGTAGCTCAGTTTTCAGAAAAAAACTATTAAAAAACTTGCATAGGCTGCATTTGGATACTTGGAAACTTGAGACTTCGGTAGCAAAACTAAACTCTTCCGCTCATTTTGTTTCAGAGATCTCGGAGTTTCAACCCATAATATTCCCCTAAATTCAGACAATTCCGAAAGTCAAATATTGTAAAAAGCCGCAGTAACAAAAGTGCATAAATATGTTGCAAAGGAATCCTCACATAAATTGTATTGACGTTGAATTTGAGTGTAAAAGTCAGATTTTCGCTCGCGTATAGTCCTTGAAATGTTGTTTGAAATGTTTCCAGCCTGTAAGTTGAATCTCCTATACAGTTTTTTCCTGCGTAGTGTTGGGCATTCATGCTCAAACCTTGTCCCATCAATGGCTTACGGATGAATAGTTATATCGGTAGGAGACACACGTAATTAAGGATACTGTATGTGTCAAGATTTTTGAGTTTCTCAACTGTACTGTGCAAGCTACGATGACAGCGAGAAACACCAAAGTTTCCTTGTTTGATATTGGAGCATAAAATATTTTTTTCAAAATAAACGCCTGATACGACATTAAAAAAAATTTAGTAGATTAAAAAATTAATCTAAAAAACCACGTTTT